ATTGTTTTTTGGCCACAGGCAGCTACCTTGACCATGTTATACTCTCTGCCTAGGGGCAGCACACATCCACTGATGATGGATACAAACTCCTCGTTCAGGACAACTCTGACAGGCCAACCCCATTCCAGAGCACTCTGTGTGATGGGTTGAGGCCTCTGAGGCAACTTCTCCTTGTACCCAATTCTGCTTCCCTCATTTCCTTACAGGTGTTGTTCCTGAGAACTCACCCTGATAAACTTCCTACAAACAAATCTTTGGTTCAGACGCTGTTTCTGGGGAACCCAACCTAAGACATGGCTACTTCTTCCCCTTCTGTGGCAAACCAGGAGGCCATTATCTTTCCTATGGTGCAGCTACAAGATGATAGATCTTCTGTTTGCTTGGGTCCCTCACAGTTCCCCAATGAGCACTCAGCTATGTAATGTGAGTGTGAAATAAACCTTTTCTATGTTAAGTCATTGAGCTATCTGGAGTAATTTTAAAACCTAGCCTTTTCTGCCTAGTACAGTTAGTTATTCACGTTAAAATAGCTGGAGTAGCCACTAAACTAATAAATGTAGGTCATATTTCTATATATTAAATGTAGGTCATAATTATAAAATAAGTGGAGGGTAAAATAGAATACTAAAAGGAAAATAGAAAACAATGTAAAACTCAATCCAATGAAAACAAGAAAAGACAGGACAACTAAACAGAGAAAACAAGACAAATAGAAAGCATATAAGATGATCAAAATAAATGTAAATATATCAATAATCATTATAAATATAAACAGATGAAACTGTCTAGTTAAATAACAAATATTGTTAAACTAGATAAAATCCATCTATGTGCCATTTACATGAGACACAGTTGAAATATAAAGACAGGGAGGGATTAAAAGTCAAAGAAAGGAAAGAAATAAACCAGATAAATAAGAAAACAACAGAGCTGGAGTACCTATATGACTAATAGACACATTCTAAGACAAAAGGAATTCCTAAATATAAAGAGAATCACTACAAAATAATAATAAATTTACTTTACCAGGAAGGTATAACAATTATAAACTTGGATATACCTAAAAAAACATAGGCTCTAATAAGTAAAGCAAAAATTCACTTATTTATAAGGAGTAATTCACAAATCTGCCATCATGGTGAAAGATTTTTACATCTCAATTATGGTAGATTAAGCAGAACAAAATTAGTAATAATATAAAAATACAAAAAATTCTTATAAAAAAATTCTTATGGGACATATATGGAATACTGCCACCAACAATTGGAGGTTATACATAATTTCCAGGTACACTCAGAAGATTTATCAAATTGATCATGTGCTAGGTCACAAAGCTAGTCTGAACAAATTTCAAGGATTGAAATAATACAGAGGGCATTCTCAGATCACAATCAATTAAGTTAAGTCGATAACATAAAAACAGTACAGTAGTTCCTCAAAAGCTTAAAAATAGAAATAGTAAATGATCCAGCAATTCCACTTCTGGGTATACACCCAAAAGAATTGAAAGAAGGGTCTCAAAGATATATTTGTACACCATGTTCATAGCAGCACTATTCACTGTAGCTAAAACACAGAGGCAACCCAGTGTCCATTGATAGAGAAATAGAAGCAAAATGTGGTATATACATACAATGGAATATTATTCAGCCTTAAAAAGGAAGTGAATTCTGACACATGCTACAACATGAATGAAACTTGAGGAGATTATGCTAACTGAAATAAATAAGCCACTCACAAAAGGACAAATACTGTGTGATTCCACTTATATGAGGTACTAGAGTAGTCAAAAATCATCAAGACAGAAAGTATCATGGTGGTTGTCAGAGACTGGGGAGAAGGGAAAATGGGGAGTTATTGTTTAATGGAGAGTTTAGTTTTACAAGACAAAAAGAATTATGGAGATGAATGGTGGTGATGGTTGCACAATAATGTGAATATATTTAATACCACTGAACTGTGTACTTAAAAATGGTTAAGATGGTAAATTTTATGCTAAGTATGTTTTACCACAATAAGAAAAAGAAGTTAAGTATGGAGTTACCACATGACCCAACAATTCCACTCCTAGATGTGTACCTAAGTGAAATGAAAATATGTCCACATAAAAGCTTTTACACATATGTATATAGGAGCATTATTCATAATAGCTAAAAAATTGAATCAACTCATGTGTCCATCAACTGATGAATAAATAAACAAACTGTGGTATATCTGTACAATGGAATACTATTCAACCATAGAAAATGCAATACTAATAGATGCTACAGAATAGATGAACCTTGAAAACATTTTGCTAAACAGAAAAAGGCATTCACAAAGGCCACCTATTGTATGATCCCGTTAGTATAAAATATCCCAAATAAGCAAATCCATAGAGACAGAAAGTAAATTAGTGGTTGCCATAGGCCTGGGAGCAGAGGGAGTGGGGAATGTCTGCCAATTGGTACAGTTTCTTTCTGAAGTGGTGAAAATGTTCTAAAATTGATTGTGGTGATGGTTTCGTGCAACATACTTTTGTGCAATGTAAACATACTAAAACCTACTGAACTGTATACTTCTAAAGGGTAGATTTTATGGTATGTGAATTATATCTCAACAAAGCTGTTATTAAAAAAAATCTTTCCACATAGAAAATTCAGCTGTAGGATTGAGTTATTCCCTGCACAATTTCACAGGTTGCCATTCATGTAGACAAACAGGTAAATGGCACTTCCTGGGAGTGAGCAATATGGTGGCTATGCTCAGACATTGTACAGGTAAATTCTACCAAACGCTCACTACCAAATATAATCTAATATTATACAAAGTTTTCCATAGAATAAATAAGCAACACTCTCCAACTCATTTGTGATTGGCATAATCTTAATCCCCAATCCAGGCAAGGGCAGTATAAGAAGGAAAAATTACAGGCCAACTCATTAAATAGACTTAAGGATCTAAACAAAATATTAGCTAATGGATTCCAGCAACAGATTAGAAAGATATTACATCATGACAAAATTGAATTAAAATGTAAGGTTGGTATAACATTAGTAATCAATGAATGTAATTCACCTCACTAACAATATAAATGAATCCTGTATGACCACCTCAAAAGATATATTGATAGAAAAAAAAAAAGTTCGGTAAAATTCATTCCTAATTAAAACACAAACACTCCCCCACCCCAAATCCTAGGAAACTAGAGATAGAGAGGATATCCTTAACCTGATAAAGATTATTTACAAACACACACACACACACACACACACACACACACACACACCATACACACAGGGAGAGCTAATATTATATTAAATGATGAAATGTTGAAAGTACTCCTTTTGATTAAAATCAAGAACAATACCAATATCACAACTGCTATTGTATTTTAATAAGCTCCCAGTTGATTCTGATGGTGGGGATCCAAGCACCTGCTTTGAGAAATCCTGGGCTGGAGAAACCCTTTTCCTGTTGAGATGGCTCCTTGTTCCAGAGTGCCCAAGTCCACCCAACACCACTCCCAGCCATTTATTGGGCTATGCTTCTTTCATAAGAATCCCACTATTCTATTTCATTTTTCTTGAATCTTCACAGTAGCCCTGTGAGACTGGTCTACCAGATATTAACTCCATTTTACAGATAAGGAAACTGAGGCTTAGACAGTTACGAGTGCTGTCTGAATCCCCACAGTAAGTGGCAAAGCTGCAGCGCGAGGCTGGGAAATGCACTCTATGAGAAGCACCTCGGGGAACCCTTCTGCCTGTGCCCCTGAACTAAGGTGGCCAGGACAATGTCATGTGTTTACCTGTAGCCTGTGGGTCAAGGCTGTAGTTAACAAAAATTTCTCAGTTTGACACAAGATGCCTTTGTTTCCTGGCAAAGGGTCATGCCATCATCCATATGAACTTGTTGTCTAGACGTCTCAGTTTTGTCTTTAAATTGGGTCTGTGTAGGAATCAACACATAGATACTTATTCCATTACTTGAGCTGCTTGTTCAAATCTTGAATAACTTGCTAACATACCCAGCCAGGCCTATTTTTAGGCACAAGGGAGACTAGAAGTTTCGAGGCATATACCCAAGTCCCACCTTCTAAGAAGGGAGAAACTTCCCTTTTCTCTGAGTAATCTGTCAGCCAGGAATGTGCCAGAACTGTAACCCTGACAATGCCAAGTGGTGGTGCTACCCTGCCCCCTGCCCCATTGGGTGGGGCTCAGAGAGGGTAGGGAAGTGGCACAGGTCACACAGCTGGCTGATATAAAAGGGAGAGGCAGCTGTACAGGGCAGCCTGCAGAAGTTCTAACCAATAGCTGAAGGGGCTCAGGGAAGGGAGAGACACCCGGGGTGCCATGAAGAAGGAAGTTGGAAAAGGGAATGGGGATCAAAAGAGGTAAAAGTCCAAGCTGGCGGGGAAACTAAAGAGACCACCCAGGTGTGACTAGAGAAGAGGGTGTATGGATGAGAAGTGGTGGAGGAGATGGTAGAAGTCAGGCCTGCCAATACCAGGCTAGGGAGTTCCCAGGCCCAGGAGTCCATGGAAGAGTGGGGCTAAGGCCCACTCAACAATCCTCCTCATCGCCTGGACTTCCACCTGGCCTGGTCCTCCCGGAAGTGATGGCGACAACTGCACAGCAGGACCTGAGGAGACTTCGCCTCTGGTCTGCTTTCAAGTACCCATGGGAGGGTCCTAAAAAAAATTCTACCCAGCTAGGTGCTGCTGGCTTCATCTCTTCAGCTTGACTCTGTAGTCTCAATAATGACTTTGCTTCAGTACAAAATACTTATGTCACAGGGAAGGGCTACAACATAAATGGTTTTGGGAGCACTTCCATTTCCAGGTTTGGTGTAGGTGGGGGGAACAGGAAGCCCTCATTCCCTGAGGAGTCTGGGAAGGACTCCATGAAGAGAGAAAGCCTGCACAGAGCAGGCGGGTTGATGACAGAGCAGTCCCACTGTTGCAGAGGCCACACCCTTGTCGTGGCCTGGATGTCAACCATTGCAGCGAGAGCACATACCTGGGGCATCTGGTCTATGCTGACCAGCCTGGGGAGCTTCAGGCTCAGCATCTTGACGGTGGCTTGGGAAGGCCAGTGGGTGGCAACTGCTCCCCGACTCCAGGCCTCACTCAAAGTTCCGACATGGTCTGGGGTGCCTGTGGCCAGCTGGTGCTCAGACCACTTCCCTGAAAGAGACGACGTGAAGAAATCCAGTCAGTCTCAGCCCAACTCCAGCTGGATCAGGATTGTCAGATTGTTTATGGAACATACACATACTTGTGATGGCAAAATAATCAGGCTTCCTTAAAAACAACAGCCAAACTATCAGACTGCTGAGTCACTCCAAAAATGCTGGAGGGAGGTAATTAAATCATAAGGTACACAGTCATAAAATCGTAGAGCTGGAAAGGGCCACAGAAGTCACCCAATCCCCTCATGTTGCACAGGAGTCAGAGGGGTGGAGTAACTTCCCCAAGGTTGCAGAGCTAGGGGAGAGCTGGGGCCACTCACTCGCCATGGCACCATGTACTGCACCTGGGCAGACGGCGTGATTCCAAGACTGCATCGTGGCGGGCAGAAGAGGACTGAGGGCCGTGGTTCAGATCACCCAAAGAGAAGCAGCTCTCCCAGGAGGCTGACCAGAGTGTGGCCACCCTGAGACACACAAAAGAACCAGACCAGGCAAATCCGTCGCACTTGTTGGAGACAGAGCAACTCGCAGTAACAAGGTTGTTTAAACGCAGGCTTAAGACTGCTTAACAGCTGTGATTAATGTGTACTAGAGAAACAGGCCCAAGAAACAGAAAAATTCAAGCTGGGTTTAGCAAAGAAAGAGCAGAGCTCGGAATGTACCAGAGTGGATGCCTCATTTACCCCCAATATCGCTGGGCCGAAATCTGCTGCCCTCTTAGAGCACCCACAGAGGGGCTCTGTCCCTGCCTGAGGCCTGAAGACCTTGCCTGTACCTCTCCTGGAGCACCAGCCACATTTGCCTGTAGGCAAAGCTAGCTGCCTAGGCTCATCCCTGACCGTTGGGGAGGACCCTGCGGGATACTTGGGAACTCAGGGTGTGTGCCTGACTCATCCTGGGCCTTCATCAAATACTTACTTAATCCTGTTCATTAAAGCAATGCTGTTCATCCTTGGAACTTAAAGTGGTTTAGGTTTGAGGTTTGTTTATACTTTTGCTTCTTATTATAGTTCTTTATGTTCTACGTGGTATTACCTGGAACTATGTTGCAAAATCCAATGTATTTATGTTTTATTGTCATAAATTTGCTTTTTTCTTAAAAACACGGAGGTAAGCATTATTCACAATAGTCAAAAGGTGGAAACATCCATGTGTCCATCAGAAGATGAATCAATACACAAAATAACAAATAAAATGTGGTCTACACATATAATGGAATATTCTTCAGTCTTCAGAAGGAAGGACAACATGGCTGAAACTTGAAAACATTATGCTATGTGAAATAAGCCAGCCACAAAAGGACAACTGTTGTATGATTCCATTTGTAAGAGGTACCTAGAACAGGCAAATTCACACAAAGTAGACTAGAGGCTGGGTGAAGGGAGGAATGAGGAGTTGTTGTTTAATGGGTACAGAGTTTCTGTTTGGGATGATGAAAAGTTCCCGGAAATGGGAAGTAGTGATGATTGTACAACAGTGTGACTATAACGTCAATGAATTGTACACTTAAAATGGTTAAAATGGTGAATTTTATGTTGTGCCTATTTTGCCACAATTAACAAGTTATGTAATATTTCTAAATTACAGAATAATAAAGAAAAAAATTTAAAGCACATGTACATTTTACCCAGGTTAAAAAACAAAAGTTAATACTTTGCAAACAAACAACACTGATGGGAGTGGGTCACGGCACATCTTGGTTTTCCAGGTCTAAATTGCCAAGCTGGAAGCACCACGAAGTCCCCTAGTGGCAGGATACAAGATGAAGGTGTAGTGCTGGGAAATCACAAGCACATCAGCAAAACCTCCCACAGGGGGCCGGCTGAGTGGCTCAGTTGGTTAAGAGCGAGAGCCCTGAGCAACAGGGTTGCTGGTTTAATTCCCACATGGGCCAGTGAGCTGCACCCGAGCTGAGCTGCTGCTGAGCTGCCAACAGGTGGCAGGATGGCTCAGCTGGTGAGAGCATGTGAGCCTAACAACAAGGTTGCCGGTTCGATTCTCGCATGGGTTGGAGGGCTACGGCCACCTGCTTGAACACGGCACCTTGAACTGAGCTGCCCTGAGCTGCTGATGGCTGGCCAGATGGTGACTGGACTTGGAGCTGAGCTAGCAGTGCCTGCCACAACTAAGATTGAAGGACAACAACTTGGCTGTTCCCCTTCCCCAATTCCCCAACACTGTTCCCCTTCCCCAATTCCTAAATAAAAAATCTTTAAAAATAAAATAAAATAAAAACCCTCGTGGCTGGCCGAGTGGCTCAGTTGGTTAAGAGCTCGCTCAAGAGTGTGAGCTCTGAGCAACAGCGGTTCGAGTCCAGCCCGAGCTGAGCGGCCACTGAGCTGCCAACAGGTAGCAGGATGGCTCAGCTAAAAACAAAAACAAAACAAAACAAAACAAAACAAAACAAAAAAACTCCAAACAGTAATGGGTTCCACAGCTAGGTCTCTACAGACATGCCCACCTTGGTCCTCTGGTTCTCCCTGGAGTCGACTCAGTGTCATGGGCAGGAAAAAATAAAAGAAACGGTTCCTACTCTCACAGCACACACCATCCAGGTAGGATGACCAGACTAAACATCGAAAGTGAAGAGTAACAGAAGTATATGATCCATTTCTTAATTCAGCCACTGTTCACTGCATTTTTATAATGTGAGTATAGTTGATTATTCTTGGTGGGCTGCTGTAGCTTGAAGGAAAAGGTGAGAATTTGATGGACATAAAAGTTGTAGAGGTTTGAGACACACAGAATAGAGGGAAGTGGCCATCCTCCATACAGTTCTATGTCTTCATTGCACAGGAAAAGAGATGAATAAGACAGTCACTGTCCCCAAGAAAAGTATAAAGAAAGAGATGAGAAAGATATGCATCAACTAACTAGCACAAGTCACCCTGAGAAGAAGGGAGACTCTCACCCACTTTGCACCAAGCCTGCGTGGGTTACCCTGCCACCTGCCTTATCTCATTTACCCACAGCATGCCATCTCTGGAAGCTGGCAGAGCAGTTAAGGGCCTGGGTGCTGGATTCAGGCCATGTGGGCTCAAAGACAGGTTTGCCATTTCCTATGCAACTCTGAGCAAGGAACTTAACTCCCCAGGCCTCAGTTTCTCCATCTGTCAAATGGAAATAACAGTAGTACTTTCTTCATAGGGTTATGATGATTAAAGAGAGAGAACCCACATAAAGGGCCTACCATAAAGTAAGGGCCCAATAAACACTTGCTATTATTATTTTCAGATAGAAAATTAATTTTATATTTACAGGCAGGAAAACAGGCACCAAAGGTTGGGGAGGTGGGGGCGGCCGGTTGTCTCAGTTGGTTAGAGCGCAGTGCTCATAACACCAAGGTTGTCGGTTTGATCTCCACATAGGCCACTGAGTTGCACCCTCCACAACTATTATAGATTGAAACAACTACTTGACTTGGAGCTGACAGGTCCTGGAAAAACACACTGTTCCCCAACAAAATTAAAAAAAAAAAAAAAGGGTAGGGGGCTTGCCTGAGATTACACAGCTAGTAGGTGGTACAGCTAGGATTTGATTTCTGGTTTCATAAGTTTCCCTTTAATAGAAAGTTGACTCTAATTAAAGGGAATTAAGACCTAGCATACAGCAGTAGGACTTATTTTTCTTTGCTGCTGAAAGAAGGTGGAAGATACAGAGTACTTACAATGATGTTTATAACGCAGACACTAAACAATGACACTCCTTGCCAATTAATCAGGTTGAGACAAACTCAGGTTAAGACCAAACTTGACCTTGCTGTTTCAAAAGTGGGAGATTTCTTGTGTCATGTTTGCCTGCCATTCAAAGAAATAAGGACTCTCACACTAATATACTGTTATTTTGCATCTAAAATGCAAAGCTTTTATTTATTTATTTATTTATTTTAGATTTTTAAATTGGGGAATTGGGGGATGGGAACAGCACTGGGGAATTGGGGGAAGGGGAACAGACAAGTTGCTGTCCTTTTGTTCTTGTCTAGTTGTGGAGGACGTTGCTTCACTGGCCCATGTTGGTATTATCATTGCGCTCTTCCTGGGTGAGGCAGATCGGTTGCTGGCCTCTGGACGGCTGCTCACTGCGGCTGCTGGCCGCTCACGCTGGCTGCTGGCTACACACGGTAGCCCATGGCAACCCACTGCAGCAGGACCTGCAGCCTACGCCATCGCTGGTGACTCACGGCAGCCCAGCTCCAGGTTGAGCTGTTGTTCAGCATCTTAGCTGTAGAGGGCAGTGTCACTGGCCCTCATATGTGGGATCCAAACCGGGGCCCTCTTGCATCCCAAGCCAGCTCTTAACCAATGCGCCACTCGGCTGGCCCCAAAGCTTTTATGTTTGTCAAAATTGTGAAACATCCATGGATGATCATGGGAAGTCATAAAGCATGGCTGATGATACGTATGCTGTGCCTACTGGTAATCATTTCAGATACACAGTCATCCCTCAGTATCTGCGGGAGATTCGGTACAGTGCAGATACCAAAACGGGAGGATGCTCAAGTTCCTCATGTAAAATGGCCTGGTATTTGCATATAAACTATGCACATCCTCCGTATACTTTAAATCATCTCTAGATTACTTATAATACTTAATACAATGTAAATGCTATGTAAATAGTTGTCATATTGTATTGCTTAGGGAATAATAACAAGTAAGAAATGTGTGTACATGTTCAGTACAGAAGCAAACATTGTACTGTGTACTATGAACTAGGCCTAAATGCATAGGAGTTAGCAACAACGTAACTTTTTTCCCCTAATATTTTCGATTACATGGAACCCAACGACATGGAGGACCAACTGTAATTGAACATAAAATGAACTCACTGAAAGTCAAATTGAAACCATGAGATAGCACCTCACACCTGTCAGAATGGCTATCATCAATAAATCGACAAACAATAACTGTTGGAGAGAATATGGAGAAAAGGGAACCCATGTGCACTGTTGCTGGGATTGCAAATTGGTGCAGCCATTATGGAAAACAGTACGGAGGC